TCCTACATGTTCAATTACTCTACACATATTTTTTTGCTACTCATGGGTAAACATTTTTTAAAAGATACGGAGAGGTGCCCCTCTCCCCCCCAAAACTGGATTGTTTTCAAGCTATGTATTTTTTTTAACAAAATAAACTTATCACCTTCAAAAAAAAAAAAGGTTTCAGCTTCTCCAAAAAAAAGAGTATAGTCAGTGGTACTGAATTATGCCTGTACAAGTTGTTGAATTGGTGAGTGTTGTTGTGTATATTTTTGCCAAAGTTGAAAAAAAGACACAAATAACAGTAAGTACAGGAAAAATAAAATGTTCTAAAATTGGTTATGGTAAAGATTGTACGGCTGAACTACTGGGTTGTATGATATGTAGAAAAAGTGCCAATAAAATTGTTTTAAAAATAAATAAAAGATGTACTGAAGTTGAAGTTTATATCTGACACTTTTTAAAAAATGTAATGGCATATATTTCACATATCATACAATTAAATCACATTAAGAGCTGTCTAGTCATCTCCACAATCAACTTTACACTTACAGCCTTCTTGTACCCATTGTCATCAGCTCCCCAACCACCCCCAACCCTCCCCAGACCCCTCTTGAACCATGAATGCAGGCACATCTCTGTAGCCACGCCCATCCTGAGTTTTATATACAGAAAACAACAGAAGCACTGCACTCTGCACGGCTGTTCACACTGGCTCTGGAGGCTTAATGCATGTGTGGACCCGGAGAATGGATTTGGGGCTCCCACTGTCATCTGTAGCCTTCCGGAAACCAGGTGTGACAGTTTGAGTTAATGATCTGCAGAATCTGGACCATCTGGGTTCACCTACCTGACCAGATTATACACCTTAATTCTTGTTGACCAGATTTCATGTTCTTTGAGTGATATAATTTCCTATTTGTTATTTGGAAAAAGTTGGGCTGGTTATTGGAAATTTAGAGCTGCTTGCTTTGTAAAGTTTAAAAAAGACATAGCAAAATAGCACCAAAGAGAGACAGCATCAATATTTTTTCTTGTCCGCCCCCTTGTTTTGCAGGGATGTGAAGGCAGTGGCGCAGTGTTCTCGTGTCTGTATTTCGTCAGGCCATCTGAGATTGAACTAAAATATGACTGTTCTTCCCTCTGCGAACTGCTCTTCTCAGTTTGAGGCCCACCAAGCAAACCAGCTCCTAAATGTCAGCAGCCTGCTCTTCCTGATTACGTTTGGGAAAACGGTGCTGAACGCCCTCACGCTGGGGCTGCGAAGGACATGCGCCTGTCACCATTTCATGGGTTATTTCTGTATTTCCCTGGCACTCGTTGATCTTTTCCTCTTAGTGAGCATTTCCATCATCTCCTTTTTCAGGGAGTTTGTACTTCTAGGCATTAGGTTTACTCGGTACCACATCTGCCTGTTGACGCAAATTATTTCCTTTACTTACGGCTTTCTGCACTATCCAGTTTTCCTGATAGCCTGTATAGATTATTACCTGGTTTTCTCCAAGACCACACAACTGCCAGTTAAGTGTCAAAAACTATTTTATTTACTTGCAGTGATTCTCATTTGGGTTTTGGTCCTTGCTTATGTTTTGGGAGATCCGGGCATCTACCAGAGTCTGAGTGCGCAGGATGCCTATCCTTACCAGTGCCCGTTCTACATCAGCGCACAGAGCTTCTGGGTCTCCTCCTCCATGGTGCTGGTCTTAGGTCTGGTCCTCCTCACCTTCTGGTCAGAAGTCATCTCCTTGGGACAGGCGGTTAGGGTAACGTCCTACATGAACGAGGCGGTCCTGTACTTCCCTTTTCCATCCCACCCCGAATATAATGTGAGCTCCAAGCAAACCCTGCTGCCCAAGCTCGTGATCTGTTTTCTTGGTACCTGGCTGCCCTTTGTACTTCTTCAAGTCATCGTCCTGCTGTTTGAAGTACAGATCCCAGCCTACATTGAGATGAACATTCCCTGGTTGTACTTTGTCAACAGTTTTCTCATTGCTATATTGTATTGGTTTAATTATCCTAAGCTCAATGTAAGAGATTTCACATTACCCGTGGATCCATTTGTGAGCTGGAAATGCTGTTTCATTCCACTTACAATTCATACTCTTGAGAAAATGGAAAAGCCAATATCTATAATAATTTGTTAATATGTTGCCATGTTAAAACGAATCATAAGAGTGATAACTTTACAGAAGGAGGAAGCGGGGTGTGTGAAGAGCTGAGTTACATCCTGGTCTGGTGAGTGTCAGGAATGGATTCCTAACAACTCCAAGAGCTAAGTAAGAAGCTCCCCCTGCTCCACATCCACGCCTACTTAGAAGGTGTCTTTTGAGGCTATAAAATTAATTTGTTAAACAGTGTTATCTTTCCAAAACAAAAGCATCACAAGAAAAAGGTTTTATACTTGTTCAGAAATGTTTATTACAAATATTAGTTACTAACAAACATGGAAGTGGAGTGAGATGATGTTTGGGTGTGATATATATATATACACACACACACACATACTTAATCTGATAATCATCATCAACTTTAAGATATGAACCTCAATAAACATTTTTATCCAATTCAGAGCAATAAAACCAAAACCACTTTTTTCATCGTTCTTTAATGTCTTCTTTGATGTGAGAGAAATAGAAGCTCAGTTTAACTTTAGCAAATTTTTCTCATGCATCTGTGTTCTGGAGAAAGGCGTGTGGGCCGCTCCCCTTGCAGAATCCCGGGGGGCGGGGTGGGGGTGGGGGTGGTAACTGGACCTCTGCTGAGCCTCCAGAACCACTTCCACTAGAACGTGGATGCCCGCAGTCCCATGCTGCATCCTCACGCTATCAGTGCATCCCACTGGACGTGAAAGCAGGGCTTCTCAGCCTCTGCACTGTTGACATTTTGGATCACATGCTGTGTTGTGTGGGCTGCCTCGGATGTGATGGAGCCTGGAGGCACCATGGTTCAAAGGGCGGCGCGTGAGCCCACCAGCAGCTCCACGGGAAGAGGAGCTGGCAGTCTGCTCCTGCAGAGTTTACTGCCTGTGAAACCCCGGGGGCAGTTCTACTCTGTCCTTAGGGTCACGAAGAGTCAGCCTGGACTGGACAGCACAGAACAACTGGGACCTATACTCAGCTTCTAGAAGGAATGAACTTGTGATAGATGCTACCTCACAGTTTATGGCCTCGTGCCTGGGGTCTTAAAAGCTTGCAAGTAGCCACCCATGGCAAAATTGGTGTCTTCACCAATTAGGAAGGTTGAGAAAAATCTTCCTAATGCTGCGACCCTTTCATACAGTTCCTCATGTGGTGGTGACTCCCCAACCATAACATTATTTTGTTGCTACTTCATCTGCCATTTTGCTACTGTTACGAATCAGGCGATCTCTGTGAAAGGATCATTCGACCTCCAAAAGGGTCGCTACCCACAGGTTGAGAACCACTGCCCTCAACAGAGGAAGAGAAGTCAGGAATCGGAGGAAGATAGGCAACATGTGGGTAAGTGCCCGTATGAGCATGAGACCAGAACAGGATGGTGCCCAGCTACCATCCTTGCACGCTTTGATTCAAGATGCCAGAAGGGTACTTGAGTTAGACTCTATTCACATAGCCCTGGTAGCCATCACCTCCGATGTGACACATAATGATTCTGAATTCCACACGCCTGTGGCTGTGGTCCCCTTGTGGAGGGCATTCATTATCTGCGAGCAAACAGGAATGGGATGAGAATGAGTTCTGCACCTTAGTAGAGGGTGTACATCAGACATCTTTGTTTAACAGTTATCTTCGTTACTGTTACAGTAGCTGTAAGAAATTTTAACCTACAGCTGAGAGGAGAAAGAACCCCGTTTCTGGAGTGGTCTGGGAAAAAGCGTGGCAGGTTAAGATTAGTGGGAGGTCCATGCCCACCGGAAACATCCTGCCAGAGGCCCCAGGCATATGTGCATCAGTGAGATCCAGTCCAGGTGTGGAGAGCAGTCTGACATTACACCATGTAACTCCCACCAAATGCCCTGCCCTTGGGTCTGGTAGGCAGACGGGAAGATGCTGGCAGGATGTGGCTGTGATTGCGAACAGGCATCCCTGCTGCCCAGGAATCAACCAACTGAGCAGCAGGGCGTTTGGGTTCATCGCTGGCAAGAGCCAGGAGTGGAGGGCGTGCTCTGGCCCCAGCATCTGGTTTCCCCCTGCCTGACCTTTGAACATTGGACTGAACTATACCCACCACCAACTGAGACCACTCCTTAACTTCCCTGAGCTCTCTGGGACACAGCAGGGATTAGATTCAGGGAGGAGTGGGGGGAAATTGAGCAGACTATCATCTTGCAAGAGTTGCACTTTTCCAATTTCTAACTTCTTGGAACTAGTTTGGTATTAATACTATTAGAGAAATTATGACCACAATACTGTTGGGGCAGGGGTTGGGTGGAAGGAAACGAATAGAGAACATAATTTCTAAATTCTCTGGATCCCAGATTTCTGGCGCTGTGGAGGCTAGATGGACCCCTGAAACCACTGTCTGAGATAATCTTTAAACCTGAAGCCAAAAATACTTCCTGAAGCACTCTTAAAACCAAATAGTCTAGCTCATCTAAAAAATGGGTCTGCTTTGAGCATTATGCTTGCTTAAGATCTCTCTATATGAATCAAATCGACAATTGCAAGTCAAAAAATGAGCTAGTAGCCTTGGGCACAGAGATTATGATGGGGGGGAACAACTCAGAAAAAGAGGGTGGTTGTACAGCTCAAAGAATCTACTCGATGCCACTGAGTTGTATGTGTAGAAATGTGGAATGGCATGTGTTTTGCTGTGTATTTTCAGCAGTGGGGTTGGGAGAATGTCTTCAGATGTCACTAAATATTCCCTGTTGAGACCATTTTAAAATAATCTGAAGATACTTTGAGTAGAGATTTTGATCATTTATAAATACTAAGAGACAAGTTAATTTAAATATTTAAAAAATTAAAGTCGGCATTTCCTAAACTGGTGGCTTTTCATTTTTTGACACCCAATTAACAAGGTCAGTGGTTCAAAACCATCAGCTGCCCCTCGGGACAAAAATGAGGCTTTCTACTCCATAGTTACAGTTTCAGAAACCCACAGGGGCCGTTCTTTCCGGACCTGTCAGCGTCGCTCTGAGTCAGAATTGACACTGAGGCAATGAGGGTTTTTTGATACAATTGATGTATGGATTATTATAAGAGCTTAAGAGCCCTCAATAAAATGATCTTCTAATTGAAAAAAAAAATGAGGGGCTTTTGTTTTGATAGTAGCATATTGTTATTTTATGACCAATATATATTCATTTGTGTATATGTGTAAATGTGCATGTCACAGCATTTGCCATTATATGTTATATACAGATACATTTTATAGTATTTTGCTTTTTTTCATTGCTAGCTGTGACCCACTAAATTTGAGTTTATGATCCACAAGCGGATAGCTTTCCATTATTTGGAAAATGCCCTAAAGGAAGTGCTATAAGAACAAGGAAAATAAAAATGTTAGAAGTCCTTCTGATCTGCTAGGCAGTTTTGTATTCAGCAACTGATGTCATCCTCAGCTCTATGAAGGAATTAAAACACAGAAATTAGGTAGCTCCCTCAGTGGATAACTGGGGGACCTGGGATTCAAGCCTAGGAACTCTCTGGCCCTTGAGGTTCTGTTTTTACCACTGGGCCACGCTGCCCTTTGTTGGTCCCACTCCGTGTACTCGAAAGAGTACATCACGAAGACACCTGTTTTAAACAGATGCTTAACTTGCTCGACACCAGTCTTTAGGTCCTGTGAACCATGTACAGCAGCAGATCGATGTGCTGTCTGCTCCTGTGAAGACCGTCTCGGCAATCCACAGGGGTGCGTCCACTCTGTCCTGTCGGGGTTCTTGGCGTTGGCACTGACCTCACGGCAGTGAGTCAGTGAGGCATCTACATGGTTGCTATGTACAGCATTTTTCTCCAAGCTCCAAATACAGGCTCCCTGGAGGTAAGTGCTTGGGCCAGTTTGAATCATATGCTCACTACTGCTCAGGGTCTGGTAACAGACATTCTGGGGCAAAAGTATAAAAGTATTGAATAGCTCTAATGCTTAGAGAAAACAGGGATAAAAATCAGACTGGCTTATGAAAAACAAATGCCTATAGAGAGCCAACAGCGTCTAATAGTCAACCCGAATCCTTTGGTTAAAGGGACTGGACAAGAAGGCCTCACTGCCCTCCATGTCTAACCCTGGACCACTCGTGTGGTGGTTTCCTCTGTATGTTATGCCTCTCCAATTGGCTACACCATGGGACTTAAGTGTTTACATAAATTGTACTTAAATTAGTAAAGATTTATACTTCAAAAAAAATTTTTGAGTGCTGATTTTATTTCCATGAGGGTAGAACACATAGAGGAAGAAATGATTTTCAAACTTCTTTCTTCGAGCTAAATATAGACTACTCCCTAATTTATAAATAAGCCAAAAAGTAGAGGTTGGTTTATGTATATGTTTGGCGTGGGGTGCATGGGTACACACCATTTTCCCTTCCTATTTACCATTACCCCACCCTACGCAGTATATTTTTACAACTCCAGGTTTCCCATGAGATGTTGTCAGAAAAGCCAAAAAGCTGACTTCCCATACGTAAGAACGGAGATTAAGAATTCAGTGTCATATTGGACAAGTTGAA